AAGAATGTTAGGGAGAAAGTGGATATTGGGGGAGTGTCTATCATTATTTTGCTCACATCTAATTACTTAACGTAGAATTGTTGCACCAGAATTACTATAACATTCTTCGTAAAACAAAATTAAAATACTATTTAAATTATAGAAGAAACTAATATTGATATCTCCATAGTTAATTATACATAAAAAAAAATACACCAAGTACATTTGTTTCGTTTGGAATACTAACACATAAATTATTCACTTTTTCGATCCTACTTCCTACTCTTATTTATTTGTTACATAGTGTCGGAATATAAGTCTTAATTCTATTAGTCGCCCGTATTAAATTGAATTGTTTCTACGCGATTTGCGTAAAATGTAAACATCATTTCTCGTGTTCCAAGCATAACACAAAATTCAATTTTGTCTTCATCAATAGAGAGCATCATCATCAGTCTCATGTTAGGAAAATGTTTGGCATGATTTCCTTAACAAGTTAGCATAAAAATAAATATATTGTGAGATAAATCTCAATAATGTTGAGATTTTCTAACTATAACCAGTCCAGCCGTAATAGTGGAAAATATCATTCTCTCAAGTGTATTCATATTAAGAAAATAATAACAGAAATAATAAACTCATGAAAGAATGTGTAATATTTAACTGAAATTGATAAAGCCTCGCCTCATAGGGTTTCTAAATTTGAAAGGTTCTAAGTAGTCAAACTCAAAGTCAAGTAAGGCGTCTCTTACAATACTACCATCTGAACCCAAATCTTTATGGGTCAGTTCACATCAAAATTATACTATTAAAAATTATATATTCTTTTATTATTTATAAAAATAATCTAACTACAACATTTCTAAAATTAAAAAAAATAACAAAATTATTCAAACCATGTAAATATAAAATAAAGTTAAGAAAGAAAGAAAAAAACTAAAAGAATGAATTTTGCTTCCAACATTACCTTTCTCCAAAATACATTTCTTTATAAGAACTCTATCTTCCTACTCTCTTCACTCTCTTTCGGTGTTTCCAAACCTCTCACGCCTCTTCTTTTATAGTTACACTTCCAACTATTTTATTATTATAAAAATATTACAAGGAAAGATTCTTATCTTTTGTTATGGTCATACACATAACTTTAGATTGATCATTCAATAACTTTTGGATTATATAATTATGTTATTTTAAATATTTTTATGTATATATATTGTTCACATAAATTTATCTATTACTCCTTTTTATTATTTATATTTACTTATACGAAGTTATATTAATTTTTTCTAATTTATTTTATTATATTATTATATTCTTTTTAGTAACAATATGACTTCTAAGTAATAAAAATAAAACTATCAAATGAAGATAATATATTTCTAGTAACACAAACTAATGCTGCACATATCACGACATATTGGTCAATTAAATGGACTATATTTTAACAAGAGAAATCATTGTACTATATCTAAGGGACTATATTTTAACAAGAGAAATTATTTCACTATATTTCATACCAACTTGCTAGATATCTACACTTTTTTTTTCCATATAGTGCCTCATATGGTTCCATTTTAATACTATAGTGGAAATTATTGTTATAGGCAAACTCTATTATTGACAAATATTTATCGTAGTTATCTTCTTGTTCAAGAATATAAGCTCTGATCATATCCTCTAAATTTTGAATAGTTATCTCAGTTTGACCATCAGCTTAAGAGTGATAAGCTGTGCTAAGTCTCAATTTAGTTCTAAAATCTTGTTGTAACGATCCCCAAAATCTAGAAGTAAATCTAGGATATCTATCTGATACAATACTTAGAGATCAATGATTATTCAAATTCCCCAAAATCTTGTTGGTAGAAAATGAGCAGATTTGGTTAATCAATCAATGATTATTCAAATTGCATCATAACCCTCTTGAGTTCTTGGTAAAGCTGTCATAAACTTTGTGGCTACACTTTCCCATTTTCACTCGGGTATGTCTAATGGTTGCAGTAATTTTGAAGACTTTTGATGTTCAATTTTTTACTTTTTGACAAATTAGATACTTTGAAACATATTATGCAATATCTCTCTTCTTTCACGGCCACCAGAACATTTCTTTTAGATTTTGATACATTTTAATGAAACTGAGGTGAATAGTAAATTTATTGCTATGTGCTTCATTTAATATCTCTTTCATCAATTATTCTTTCCTAAGTATAACAATTCTACTTTGAAATTTCACTAATTCATCTTCTCCTGTAGTAAATCCTTCCAGTTCAAGAAATTTTTCTAAACTTGAATCCTAATGCTGAATTCTTCTAATTTTGTCCATTAGTTCATTATCCATTCTTATTTCACTAATTCTCACACTTCTAGGAAGCACAATCACATATAAACTCATATCTCTAAATTTTTTAATAAATCCATTTCTTTGATCATTAAATGTGATACATGAAGAGACATTGATGTTGTAAGATTGTCAATTAGATCATATGGTGTGTAGGAATTAATTTCCCAAGAGAAATATATGAAAATAGAGATTTAGTGTTTTGCCTAGGTGAAGGGGGCTTCAGCCTCTGGAAGAGGAGGCTCAAGCGCCCTGGAGGATCTGTGCAGGGAGAAACCTTCGTCGCTAGAGGCTTTAGCGCCCAAAATGGGAGCTCAAGCGGTCGCAGGGGGCTTAAGCGCCCAGTAAGGGGGCTTAAGCCCCCAACCCTAGTTTTAAGAAAAAGCAATTATCTCTTGAAATAAGTAATAGGGACCCTCTAATTAGGTATAATAAAGATAATAAATAATGTTAAGCATAATTTTAGTTATTCCGCAACTTCACATGTTATAATCACAAAATTGGTAGATTAAATTACGATCTTGTTAATAAAGGAAATAAGCAACGTTTTAAAAAGAAAAATGTATCCATATTCTTAATTGAACCAATGTGATTGTAACTGCGTTTAATATCATAAAATAATGTTTAATATTATAAAATAATGTTAACAAACAAGTTCTAGAATAGGGTATTACATAAAAGGTGAAAGAAATTTATTTGATGTTTAAAGTATATTACATATCACATAATATTTAAGATAGATCATATTATACACTTTCATATAGCCAGGGCAGATCTAGGGGGTAGGGTTGGCTCTCCCCCCCCCCAAATATATATTTTTTTAAAAATGATATATGCAAGATTGGAGGAGATAAAAATATGGGTTTTCCATAAAATTGGACAACTATATAAGGGAGATGAGATAAAAAAATGTTGAAGCATACAGAAGGAGAACATTGGGCAGTATTATTGGAGGATACTTCCAAACATCAGGGAAAAATTTGAAAAAGATAATATATTTCTTAGAGAAATGAAAAGAAAGGTTTTTGGGGTCAAAAGATAACGCCTTGCTACGAGCAACCCATATGCATCGTCGGTCTGAGTCCCCATCTTTTTCTCTGTCGGTCATCCCTCTCCTTGTTGTGTGATGAAATTTGGGGCTCCCAGCGCACAAGGGATTGGGTGGGGTGGAGGAGAGAGAGTGAAAGAGAGATTGAGGAGAGAGGAGAGAGAAGGGAAAGAAAAAAAAAATCAATGTGTGACTCCCTTAATGGGAGGACCATCATCATGGTTCTGGAGCATGTTAAAATTTTCCCCTTGTTGCAAAGCGTGATGGCTGTTGCAATATTGTAATCTCTTTTTTTTTTTTTTTTGGTAAAGATATTGTAATCTCTTTTTTTTTTTGGTGTGGATATTATAATCTCTTTTATCTTGCACTTAGGTCACCCAATGTGAGCTTAAGGTTTGTTTTGAGCCCACATCTATCTAGGTAATAAGAGATTAGTTAGTGAGCTCATGTATTTTAGTTTTTTTCTTTATTTGAGCTAATGTTTTTTGTCTAAGATTTGAGTTGGTGACATTGAAATCATTAATTTAGACTTAACTGATATTTCTAAAAATTACAATTAAAAGATTTCAGATTTGGTTTTTATTTATATTTTACATCTATGCCAGAATATGCTCTATATAACGGCCTTTTGCATTATCTGCATTTCCAACCCTTTTTATATAAATTATTGGGTTCGCCACTGTATATAGCCTTGTTGTTGGTAAACATTAAAGAACATGAGTGAATGATACTCAACGTTATTTTTCAATGACTATAGCAATTGGCCTTTCACCTCAGTATTTTCTTGATGAGGATATGTAATCCCTTCATGCTCAATTGTGTGGCATAGTTCGAAGCTTGAGCCACTTCAGGCAATTTTAGTCTCTCCATTGCACGCTCTACCATTGATTGAAAAAAAGTAAAGAAAATTTTGAAAATGGATTACCGAAAATTCAGAGGTAAAACTTAAGAATGTTATTTAAGATCTTTACATAATACCTATAATTTCATTGCTTTATAAATTAATTATTTTTTATACTGAATTTATATAATTTAAATATTTATTTTTAATTAAGGGTAATTTCAACATTTGATTTATAATTTAATATTTTTTATTAAAGATACTTGAAATTTATATAACAAGATTATTTTTAATATTGAGAAAATTAAATGATATACGTGGTAATTACGAGGATCTAAATGATAAATTTGAAATCATAAAAATTAATACATATTCAAATCAGAATGGATAAAATCTGAGATTTTCCTTTTTTATTTTATTTTATAACACAAGCATATTTTGATTTAATTTTTAACGTTTAATTATATTAAAAAAAATTGAATCATTTATGTCCCTGTTTTAATACATGAGAAAAATGTTTATCCTTTTAAGTGACACAATTTATATTCTTTCACTTTCACAAAAAGGTGGGACCCACATCTTTATTTTTTTGTCAACTATCTATTCTCCTATTTCTCTTTATTAAAATGACACAACCTTACATTCATTAAAATGAGATACAACTCTGCCGTTAATACATATTCAAAACTATGATCGTTGACCGGGTCGGATCAATTTATAAATCCACGATCTTTGGGTATCCATGGATCACTCTTTTAAAACCTAATTTTTGGTTCTCTTCGCTAGCTGGCGCTACTTCTCCTCTGTCTCTCCTCTACTGGTAGCGTTCTCTGTGTTCCGCTCCACTCAACCATTGCTAGGGTTTCAACGTTCAACTTGTTTTGCTTTCTCTTCACAGCAACATGGTTCTCACTACTGAGGTATATCCACTTATCAACTTCTTCTCCTTCCTTTTTTGAACCTTACTCCTTTAACTCACGTGACTGTGAGCTTTGATTATGCATGCTGTGCTGTAACCTTGCAGGGTGCGACGAATTGTGTTGAGGCTGTGGCCTTCAGTTTCTTAACCGGTGAGGAGTTACGGAGGAGTAGCCGGGTGAAGATAACAAGTCCCACTTTGCTTGATACTGTTGAGAGGCCTATACCTGGTGGATTATATGACCCTGCTTTGGGCCCACTCGATGATAAGTCTCTGTATGTTTTCACAATTTCAACTTCACTCTATCAATTTTTTTTTTCTCCTTCTATGAATTACTGCGCTTGATTATTTGATAAACCTTAAGATTTTGGTTACAAGTTATTTTGAATGGGAAATAAACTAGAAGTTAATTTAATGTAATGCTATATTTACATTACATGGGTTTTGCTTGATGCAGTTGTAAATCTTGTGGTCAAACTTCTAAACATTGCCCGGGTCATTTTGGTCATATTGAGCTCGTTTCCCCACTCTACAACCCTTTGATGTTCAATATTCTTAGCAATATTCTACAAAGAACTTGTTTCTCTTGCCATCATTTCCAGGCTAGCAGACATGAGGTAAATGTAAATTGATGTGGTAATTTTTACAAACACTATCGTAGATACTAATTTTACGCGTTGTTTTTTCTCCATGCTTGTGCTTTTTTATAAGGATATTTCTGCATTTCATTGGCAATTATTCATATGGGTCTTGTGTTGATTCAAGGTGGACAAACGTACGTCTCAATTGGAGCTCATTATGAAAGGGGATATTGTCGGAGCCAAGAATTTGGATTCAATTAGTCTAGATGAATCCATTCATCTGAATGTTGGTGATGAGAGCCCGTGTTGTAGTGCTGAGCAACTGGGAGAAAATTGGACCTCCCTTCAATTTAGTGAGGCAATGTCTGTTCTAAGGAAGTTTCTGGCGCGGAAATATAGGAAGTGTCAAAATTGTCAAGTCATCAATCCTAGAATCAGTAAACCAACCTTTGGATGGTTTCGTATGGTAAATTTTTTTTTTCTTGCACTTGAAATTATTTCCAGAAATTAAAATATTGTAAAGTTCTAAAGGATATTTTCCTGTCTTTGCTAGGCTGGTGTGCTTTGATTCCCTAACACTCTTTCTTTTCTCTTATATATATGTATATATTGGGATGGTGCTGGGGGTGGGTTCAGTTGGGTGTGTTTCTGGACATATATTATGCTCTGTAGTCCGCCAATTCCACAACTGCCATGCTACCTCAAAGTTCTAAAACAACTATTTTTTTCCGATGATTGTTATAATAGTGAGTTATAGCCTTGCAGTAGGTCTCTGTACTATGATCCTTGTAGCATTTTGACTTTCAAGTAGCCCTGCTGTGGTGCACACTATGTATGCTATATTCACCAATTTTATGTGTGCTATATTTGGTAATTTTATATTCACTACATGCGCTATTTGACTCCAAAGCAAGACTCTTCTAGTGTTCTGTCATAAATTGTCCTATGCCTGAACATATAGCATCTTATACTTCTCAAAGATATTTCTTAGTCCTCGGGGTTCACCTTCATCCATTGTATGTTCTAGTTTCTTTTCTCACCCCATGTCAGGGTTTGATGCGGAGCTCTTCATATCTTTATGAAATTATATGCTTTTATCAGACTTATCAAGATTAAAAAATATCTTTTTTTTTTTTTTTTATACTTATCATGAGTAATTATTATGCAAAGCTGTAATTGAATCTCATCTGCTTGGCTAATGGAATGCGTAATATGTCTCCTATATTCTCCTAAAATTGTTGATAAACTTGAAAATAGGAGTCTAAAAATAATGACATATCATAGCGATATAAAGCAGAGATTGTAGAAAATTCTTGTTATGATGTTCGGTCTTAATCTGTTATGTATCTTTTGTGTTTGATTTGAGTGACTGATTTTAATGTTCTTGGTCATGTATCTCAAATTTTCCATTTTGTACTTCCTTTTTTTTTTTTTTCTGCTTTCTCTTCCTGTTGTCTGTATAACCGTGTGCTCCCTTTACATTTGTTCAATTACAATATGTTTTTATTTCTCTTGATTTCCCTTCGTATCTTTCATTTGGGTTCATCTACCACCGACCCCAATTAGTTTGGGATAAAGGTGGTGGTGATGTTGATGTTGATTTCGTTAATGCTTTATGATTCCATACATTTCCAATGTCAAGAAGTTTTCCTCCATTTTTGAGATGAGAGGACATAGGCAATATATTTTATTGAATTTTTTGAGAATGTGGGTGATGACATGGCAAGGTTTGGAATTTGAATGCTGTAAAGTCCTTATATTTATTGTGGATATTGAATTTTTCATATGAAGTATTTGTACTCTCTTCCACAGGACACAATGTCATGTCTATAGGTTCATGTTTGTAGGTATTTCTAGCTGCAATGTCTAATTCTTGCTTTTCTTTTCCTTTTCCTTTCCCTTCTCCTTTCTGGGTTTCTGATTCATGGCTGTAGAATGTTCTCTCATCTGATCAAGCCAGAGCAAACAAAATTACAACTGATGGTGCTTTGTTGGCGAGTGAAACAATCAATGATGATATATCTTTAGGAAGTGGAGATACTACAGATGAAGATGATATTACCTCTGCAGTGACTGATAGTAGTGTTGCGAAAAGGAATAATAGAAAAATGGGGAAGTTGTCTTGCAAGCTTGCTGAGCAAAATAAACTTTCTGGGTCTTTGTTACCATCACAGGTTAGTTTCTTGCAAATACTGGTTTAATGGCTATCATTTATAACTTTATATTTTCTGAAATAGTGTCCGCGTAATATATATTAGATGCTGTTGGAAAATGTGTATGGGTTATTTCATTTAATTCATTTTGAATTACAGGTTAAAGGTATTTTAGAGCTTTTGTGGGAAAATGAGGCTCGACTCTGTTCTTATATTAGTGATATTCAAGATAAGGGATTTGGAAAGAAAGCCGGTCACTCGATGTTCTTTCTAGAGAATATTTTTGTTCCACCAATCAAATTCCGTCCCCCAACTAAAGGAGGCGATAATGTAAGTATGACTTAGAGAAACTGTTGGCGAGAGTTATAGTTTTCTTTTCACACCAGGCAGCTATTTCGTAGTGTAATTGTTAGAATACACTTAATTATGTGATATTCGAATCAGATTGTTGTTTCATGAGGAAAAATGCATTTAGATGGTCCCTTCTTTTTAAATATGAATTATGGATATTTTTTCCTTAGGGTGCTAATATATTATTTTATCATTCTTTCTCTTTCCTTTTTTTGATTTCTTCTACTATGGAATCTATTGCAATCTGTTAGAATTGTTAAATAATATTTTGTTGAGAAATATAATATATTATTATGTAAGTAGGATGGAGATCTGCCTAGCAGTGATGGCTTGCCTGTAAGATGCTTGGCAAGGAAGACAACCACTAGGTAGTGAGCCTAGCAGGATTAGGGTTTTGCTAAAGTAAAGTTTCCCAAAACGTAAAATCTGGTTCCAACTTGAAGTTGAGGAATTGTGTGTCTAATCAGACCACACAAGGATTATATTCGTAATAATGAGATACATGGGCTTTGGCCCTATTTACACAATGTGGTACAAATAAACTAATATACATTCTAACAAAATGAAGGAAGTGATTGTGGAGCTTGTAATTTACTTGCATTGCTTAATGTTATAATTGATATACCTTACTCCTTGCGTCTCTTCTTTATCGAAAAGGAGTCATCTTTTCAGTATCTGTACAAAGGTGAATTCTTTCTTCAACATGAATCTCAACAGAGGGATCGTGTAATAGATTAATGTTGTCCTTTCTGGAATTTGAAAGCCTGAAGTTCATTAACCTTGGCACTTGGTTGTTGAAAAAGCTCCATAACTCCCTGTAAAGTACCACAATGAAAGGATAAAATTAGGAGTGTAGTGAAGATGAGAATGTTGAGGTGGATGAGTACATAGATGGAACTATTTCATTAACCTAGGGTAGTTTGTCATGTGAAAAGAAGACCGATAGAGGCTCCAATGAGAAAAGTAGAGTTTCCAAGGGATAGAGGAAGGCCTAAGAAATTTATAAGAAAAACGAGTTTAAATGACGTTATTCTTATTGAGTTCTTTGAAAATTTGACTTTTGATAGATTTCGATGGCACTGATTGATCCATGTAGTTGACCGAGGTTTGATTGTTGTTGCTCAAACCTGGAGGATAGCTATTGATTTTATTCCATTCATTGTTTTGTGGATGTTTGGACATTCTTTGATCCTACATGTGCCTTGGTCAATGTCTTTTGCAGGTGATGGAACATCCTCAAACTGTTTTGTTGACTAAGGTTTTACAGTCCAACATGTTCTTAGGAGATGCCCATTTAAACAAGTTAGATCCCTCAAAGGTTCTAAGCCGGTGGATGGATCTTCAGCAATCTGTAAACGTGCTGTTTGACAATAAAACTGCTTCTGGTGAGAGTTTCTTCTGTTTTTTTTTTAATAAGTCATTAAACAAAAAATGATCTAGATCATTAAGTAATAAAGCAAATGCACCAAATGAAAAGAATATAATTATATAAGTTTTTTATTGTGATAAAATGTTTGCAAAGGGATCTCTTTTTTCTGTTTTGTGAAAGAAGAAATATTATTGTAGAAGAGGAAGAAAGAATTACAAAAGTATAAGTTAATCCTCCTCGAAGGAACCAAAAGACATGATGTTATTGTGACAAAGTGTTCAGTGCATTAGATGAGTCTGTGGATAACTTGAGAAGTATGTTAAAATGTAGCTATTTTAGATATCTTGCAAATGGTTGTTATTTAGAGTTATCTTTATTTATTGCTTGGTCTAGGCCAAAGAGATGTGGCTACTGGAATTTGTCAGTTGCTGGAGAAGAAGGAAGGCATCTTCCGCCAGAAAATGATGGGAAAGCGGGTTAATTTTGCATGCCGCTCTGTCATATCGCCAGATCCTTATTTAGCAGTCAATGAAATTGGGATTCCCCCATATTTTGCTTTAAGATTAACGTATCCTGAGGTGAGGTTTGTAACTATGTATTAGTCAATGTGCATATTTGTTATTTGTTATTTATGTTACTACAATGTGTATACATTTACATATGGTTCTAATAGAAGCATATGTATTGGTATTGTACCTCTGTTTACTTCATTTTTCTGCCTTTATTATATAAATCTGATATTTTATGCCCATGTAATTTCAACATCAACACCATCTTTATCCCAAACTAGTTCGGGTCGGTGGCCGAAAAAACCCAAATGTAAAGTACAAAATGATTGAGGAAAAAAGGAGAAAAATAAAATTAAAAAAACAATATAAATAACACTAGACTAGACATTAAAAAAATAGCAATAAACAATTTAAAAGAAAAATAAAATAAAGTGAAAATGAAGATACATAAGAGAGAAAAATACATAAGAGGAAAAAAGAAAAGAATAAGAAAGTAAATAAGAAAAAAAATTGAGAGGAAAAAAGAGAGAGAAAAAAAGAAGAGATGAAGAAAGAAATAAAGGAGATATGGGGGAAAAGCATTAAGAAAGGACCATTTGGAACATAGGAAGAAAATGGGTCTAACTCTCCGCAATGCTATTAGCTTTACTCTAATTCGTTCTAAGGCACACCGTCTGCCAATCTATATCCTATTCCATTAAGTCTTGTTTTATTACCTTTCCCCAAGATATAAGGTAATTTAAAGATAAAAAAAATTAAAACTGAGAAGTAAGCATTGTGCTGCAACGGAATGTTAGTTTGCATGTTGTTGCAGCCAAAATTATGCCTCTTTAACATAGAATGAGTAATTGTTGTAGAATATGATGTGAAATGTTTAGAGTTTATTATGGACACCAAACAATGTGTAGCATATTAAATTGTAACATGTTGATAAGCCAATGATAATACTGGTGTTTTGCCTTCTTCATATCTCATTTTGTTTCCTGCCATTGGCTTTTATGTTAATATCTTGCAGAGAGTCACTCCTTGGAATGTTGTCAAGTTAAGGGATAGCATCCTTAATGGTCCTGAATCCCATCCAGGTGCCACGCACTATGCTGATGAAGTATCAATAGTCAAGCTTCCCCCAAAAGGGAAGTTGCTCTCTTTAACATCAAGGAAATTATCATCCTCTAGAGGGGTTATTATGCATCATGGGAAGATGTATGACCGTGAATTTGAAGGTAAAGTTGTGTATCGCCACTTGAAGGATGGTGACGTTGTGCTTGTCAATCGACAGGTACACATTATCTCATCTGATGTGTTTGAACAGTATATTTATTATGGTACTGTCTTCATTTCTTTTAATGATTTTTTTTCCTTTTTTAAACAAGAAACAAAAGAAATTATAAATGACATTAGAATGATGGATGTAAGCTGATTGATTATTCTCATCTACTCTTGAAAATTGTTAAGTTGATGTGGTTTTTCAACATCTATATTTTTATTTTTGAGTTGAAATTCTGTTTTACTTTTAAGTTGGCTGTGATTGTTCTGATTTCATAACTTGTTATTGTATACCACAATTAACATAAAAATAGTTTTGTGAATTTTATATCAAGAAAATGTGTGATCTGAACATGTTGCGATTTTTTTTACTTGTGGTTTGAATTGAACTTTAAATTCTGTTGCAGCCCACTCTTCATAAACCTAGTATAATGGCACATATTGTTCGTGTTCTAAAGGGGGAGAAAACAGTACGCATGCACTATGCAAACTGTAGGTAATATGTAATTGTAGTTTCTTTTAGTTTGGTGTATTTGCTGTATAAAATATGTACTAATGTACTTGACTATATCTGGCATCTCACTTTGATAAGCTATCATGAGAATTTCATTTTGATACATTCATATACGTAATAATTCTGATTAATATGGTTGCTAAAGTGAATCACTTTTTGTTTCTTTGTTTTTCCCTCATGATCTCAGTACTTACAATGCTGATTTTGATGGTGATGAGATTAACGTTCATTTTCCACAAGATGAAATTTCTCGTGCTGAAGCGTACAATATTGTAAATGCCAACAATCAATATGTGAAGCCTACTAGTGGTGATCCAATCAGAGCTTTGATTCAGGTATTTGCGTAAATAATTAGAAAATGGCTACTCAGGGCATTAGGATCCCACACTTGTGGGATCTAGAGAGAGTTAGATATGCATGCATCCTGACTCCAGTGAGCTGAGAGGTTTTCCCTAGGAGATCCCATGACCTCTGGGTCACTAGGCAGCAACCATATTGTTGAGCCTCACATGCACATTATTTACGAAAGCCTTTTTTTTTTGGGGGTGATTTCCTGAAGTTTTTTCCTTCCATTTTGAATAATTTTACAGGATCATATTGTAAGTGCTGCTCTTCTTACTAAAAAGGATACTTTTTTAAGTTGTGAAGAGTTCAATCAGCTTCTCTACAGTTCTGGTGTATCCATGGCTGGGCTGGGCTCTTTCTGTGGCAAACCTGGGCAGAAAGTTTTCGTGGCCAATTCTGAGAGTGAAATGTTTCTGTTTCCTCCAGCAGTATGGAAGCCAGAGCCCCTATGGACTGGAAAACAGGTTGCTAAATGTTAATAGTCTTAAAGTTAAGATTTATCTTGCTTCAGATGTTATAACTAGTCACTATCCATTTAAATATGCAGAAACCTTTTTTCGTTTAGTCCTTTTCTAACTTGTATTATTTCGTAGTATATTAAACTCTGGAGTCTGTATGTGTTAAATGCTGATTCTTATTTTCCTATTTGGGTATGATCTGCTACTTTGTTTTAGAGGCCATAATGGTTTCAAGTAAATTTTGTTTCTGCTGTCTCTCTAGGTTATCAGTGCATTGCTATATTATATCACCAGAGGTAGCGCACCATTTTCTGTTGAGAAGAATGCGAAAATCCCATCTAATTTTTTCAAGACTCGAAACAGGGAGGGAAAAAGATGCACTGAAGATACATCAAAAAAGAAGGATGAACCTGATGAGGATAAATTGTTGATATATAGAAATGATTTGGTGCGTGGTGTAGTTGATAAGGCCCAATTTGGTGACTACGGTATGGTACATACAGTGCAAGAACTTTATGGCTCAAATGTTGCTGGCAATCTGCTTTCGGCATTAAGTCGGTTATTCACTACCTTTTTACAGGTGAGCCACAAATTAATTAGTTTTGCAAATGTTCTCTATTTTATAGAATTTAATTAATCTACAAGATTCTGATATATTCTCTGTCATTAAGATGCATGGGTTCACATGTGGGGTAGATGATCTTCTCTTAACAAAAGAAAAGGATGGTGAGAGAATGAATCAACTTGAAAGCTGCGAGGAAATTGGTGACATTGTTCATCGTGAATTCATTGGAGTCATGGACGGTGATAATATAGGTAATCTGAAGTAAAATTAATTTATGCAAACCATATGATTTTCAAATAATGTTCCATTTCCAGATTTGATAAACATTTATAATTTGTTGAAAATCAAGTTTTCCTTGTAAATTTTTTCACCGAGTTTATTTTCTGCCTTGATGTAATGATGTGTCTGAACCGAAACCACAGTAGATTGTGGCAGTAACTCTTAACCATGCTCAATAACATCAATAACACTATTATCCCAAACTATAGGGTCTGTGGCGATGAACCCAAATGAAAGACAAGAAAAGTTTGAGAGAAAAAATAACACTAGAAATTAAAAATAAAAATCTAAAAAATAAAATGAAAATAAAGGTAAATGAGTGGAAAAAAAAGAAAAAAAGGGAAAAAATTAAAGAAATAATTGAAAATAAATAAATAAGAGAAAATAATTAGAGGAGAAAAACTTAAATAAAAAAATGAAAAAATAGAGAGGTAAAGGAAGAAATAAAGGGAGATACAAGAGAAAAGAAGTAAAAAGGGATCATTTGAAGTATAAAAGAAAATAGGCCTAACCCTCTGCAATATCGTCTGCCAATTTATATCCCTCTCCTTTAAGTGTTTTTTACTACTTTTCCTTATGTAAGTTTCAGCTGACTTCTTCCTCTATTTCTGCCGTGTTCTGGGTAACAAACTTATGTTTTTACTGCAGCATCTAGGGGTTTTAGCATTATGTGCCCAAATTCTCAATCTATGTTCTCTCTTCTTCTGAACCACCCCTACTACTCATACCTTTTATCAAACATCTTCGTTTTTTATCTTAACCATCCTTGTATGACCATATATCCACCTTAACATCTTCGTTTTCTGTACTCCCATTTTATACTCATGTTGCCTATGTGCTGGCTAACATTATGTTCTGTATATCATTGCACACGTTGCTATAGTTCTATAAAACTTTAATTTTAGCCGTAGAGATGGCTTACATCTTCATTAATCTCTCCACCTTTTTGTAAAATAGATTCCAATTATCTAAAAACTTATTTTTTGAGTACATCATGACCAAACAAATGCATGGAATCTTGATCTCAATGTCTTGCCGGAGCAAATTCACACTTCATGTACCCTGACATAGCGTGAATCCTCAAGACTCCAACATGCTTCTCCACAATTCCAATTTTCTATTAACACCGGCCTTGGTCTCATCAATAAGCACAATATTATTTGCAAATAACATACACCATTACATTTCATCTTGGATATCTTTTGTTAGTTCCTCTATAGCTAGAGCAAAAGATAAGGACTCAAAAGTAGAGCCTTGGTGTACACGTACTGTAACACCCCGTGTATACCCGGAATATTAACATTACATCGTATTAAGCGGTGCTTAATTAAAATTGCGGAATATTCTTTTTCTTTTCAATTATGACGTCATTAAACTTAGCCAAGTTGATTACGTAATCAATTTCATAAAATATCGCCTGTATGGAAATTGCAATAAGACATCTACTGAAATTCCTCAATATATAAATAAAGTGTGTATCTAAATCACGACATTACATCTCGTAATCCGGACAATATCCTGATACATTATTACAACTCCCAGAAGACTCAAGACATAAACAATACTATGTGTCATGGACAATCCCCATGCTCACCAAATAAACAACGTAAACAACAAGTCTCAACATAAAACTCCATAAACATAAACTGAAGCTATAAGCATATAAGCAGCATGCAAATCCAGCATCCAATATGTCAGCATAAAATAACAGCAATTCTAACTCAGCTCCGGCCTCCTGCCGCCTGAGGTCTCAACATTACCTGAACCTGAAATAAACACCCTAAACGTGGGGTGAGATCTCTAAACTAGAAATCTCAGTAAGACAAGGGGTCCTCAAGGATTTTCCACCCCAAGCTCACTTACATGTGCAATATAAGTTCTAAAAGCAGTTTATCAATATAAGTTCTCAAAACTATGCAGTGCAACAGATATCTATGGCATGTGTGTAATCACTATTCTACTGGCCAGAGAAATGTAGGAATACGTCTATACCTACATGTAGTACAAGGAACACCGCTCGCACCTCACCCACAGCCTCACCATATTGTATGTTTTACATGCTCAGGCTTACCGTATAGGTGGAACACCTCCATGCATATTAACAAAGCACTAACATATAACAGCTCAACAACATTTCCAAAACATCAAAAGCATGTAACGCAGCATGTATATACCATACCCTCATTGGACATGGTGGAACCACAACATGGCTAAACCGAGGACACGAAAGCTTACCTCTAAGCTAGCTATCCAATGCCACAAGCTCAAAGTTCAAACACATCAGTATCACAATCTGTTATGGACCAACAACATATCAATATTCAAGCATCTCAAGCATACAACTTAAAGACAACGCCTTTTCATTACGTTTTACGTCTTAAGGCTTCTAACAAAGCCACAAGCCCTTAATCACATGATTCTGACTTAGTTCATTGATTACAGAAGTTCAACTTCATTAACCTAGGGTCCAAAAACCCCCAATAGCCTACTGTCCTCACAGCGCAGCTACTGTTCTTCGAAATCCTAGAATATCCGGATATTCTTCGGGGGCATATCCGGATATGCAATATCCGAATATCTCACTGTCCATATCCGGATATGCAATATCCGGATATACAGATTCCCATATCCGGATATCAAAATCCCATATCCGGATATCAAATATCTGGATATTTCACGGGCAGATATCCGGATATTTCACGACAGAATGCAGAAACTGCATTTCGTGAAGATATCCTTCCAAGGTTGGGTTTTTACCGATTTTAGGCACTAACACATGCATTTCTAGGTGTGTTTGACATTACCCAATGTTAAGTTAACATCTTTAAGCCTTTAAATGCATCAAGGTTCCATTTGTAAGCATAAAACTCAAGTTAAAGTGTGATGATCATACCACAAGCCCAAAACAGAGAATGAAGATGCTCTTGGAGCTCAACACAACCCCTGAAGTTTGACTCAAAGATGTGCACGAAAATAGCATCACAAAGGTTGGTTCTTTAACACAAAAAATCACCACTTGGACCTCCAAAAACCAAAACCAAGCTTCTCACAGCCCCAAACCACCAAGTCAGAACCAAAGCTTCCTCACACAGCCCCTCAAACTCAATGAAGTCTCTTTCTCACTCACAAGGATCAATCACACCAAGCCCAAGTGTTAAGATGAAGGAACAAGCACCAAAGGTGAATGCTTGCTCAAGAAATGGTGAAGAAGGCAAGGAAGGAGTGTTTTCTGGTCAGCCTCCAAGTTACTCACGCAGCAATTCAGTTTTCTAGGGCTTTGTGCCCTTACAAAGGGTATTTATAGCCACTTACTCAATAAACACACAGTATAAGCTTTAATTGCTACGCTTAGCATTTTAATCCCAAACTTTGGATTCTTAACATACTCAATTTTACAAGAATTATCATATTTTTATAATATTTTTCGGAGCACCTTTCCGGTACGCGCTTTTCATAGTCAGTATCAGTTTCTGGCACCAGTTCTCATTATTTGGACTTGAAACTCGTTTTACATGTCCTATATATTATTCTAGTAATTATCATGCACTTACTTTAATTTTCCGGGATACTTTTTCGGTACGCATTTATACCGACTAGCAGAACCGGTATATGCACTTTTCTTCTGAAAAACGACTTTCAGCATTCTTAATCACTTATCATAATTATTAGAGTCTCATAATAATTATTAGGGTCAATTATGGAATCATTTCCTATTTTTCTCATAATTAATCAAATAAATACCTTAATTAACGGTGCGGGTTCTTACACGTACCATGATAGGAATTAGGAAAATAAGTTGATGTTCTATTATAAGCCTTTACACACGTAGTAGCACCTTTGTATATATCCGTGATTGCTTTTACATACTTTGATCATATTTTTTTCTTCTAAAGAACTCTATATAACCTTTCTTGGAATCCTATCATATGCCTTCTAAGATCTATAAAAACCATATGTAAGTCCTTTTCTCAATATATTTCCGTCAATTGTGGTATCAAGTAAATAGCCGCCATGTTACATCTTCTTGCATAAATCTGAATTAATTTAAATTATTCAGGGTAGACTTACAGTTTACACATCCTAATATAGTGAAATTCCTTCTGAATTTGCTTCTGATTTTATTCTACTTTTCTTCACTTTCTTGTATTAAACTCTTCTTGACATTTGTTCCATCAATGCCGTAGAATATTTCTCTTTGAAACAAACTGGATTGGACCAGAGGTAATGCAAATGTAGATAGATGGGTAAGAGATGTCTGAGTGTTTAGAAATGTTTTTCAGTTGAGGATAATACAAAGAAGTACGTCTAATATTTTTATTGGCAAAATAGATATTGATAATATACCATGATGCAAAGAGAAGGTTAATTTGTGGGAATGGAATAAGGTAAAGGAGATGTCAAGAATGACCCGTGCAGAAGTTATGGATCCAAAAAGTTGGGATTGTTGCTTCTAATAAGATTAAATTGATTTTTTTTATTGAGGCTTTTTATGTTTTTTATATGTACTTTTAACCGCATAATAATTCGCAATTAAGGCTTCTTATGTGTGTTTTGGTTCTTGATGATTCCTTAAAGAATTGGCAATGCCAAAAATAGATAGGGGGGAATGCTCCTTTCTTCGGTGCTCCATTGACTGCTGTTGGTGTGGAGAATGTCTAGCTAAATTGGATGTATCTTCATAAACAGCATGGGACATTTTTGCTTGTAATGTGGGCTTATACATGTCACCCCTTTAGGGGACTACTTTGTTTGAGTATCTTCTCTGTATTTGAATACCAATAATTCTTTTTTCTAGTTAAATAATTTCTTTCATATTCTTCAGTTTTAAATTAAGAATTTTAACTGACCACAAAGAAGAGGCTGAGAAAATTTTATTTCCATCTTGACCATACGAATGCGTTTTGGAATAAAGTTATGAGCATGGAAGAATGCATACTATCTTCGATGCATAATTATGTATATTGTATAGATAGACCTATATGCTCCAAGTTGAGGGTGTGTTAGAAAATATATAGTATATATATGCATAGGCTAATCAAATTCTATGCTTATGGCAATTAGGATATTTGTGATTCCTGTATTTATTACATTAATTCTGTATAATAGAGCCTATCTAGTGTAATTCATACATACAGACTTCATCCCATGTCTCTTTTCCCTTTCTCTTAACAATCTTGAAATTTAAAATTTGCCTGAATGTGTTGGTTTTACCTATTGTTCCCTGACCAAAAGTAACTGTGAGACCAACTGACCAATAATGTGTGAAGATGGGTGCCCATGTGTTACAATCAATATAATTTATTGTGTAAACATTTTGCGACTACTTTGAATTGAACATGTCTTCCAAATGTGCGCAGAATAAACCACCTTTGGTTGATGGTTTATAATTCTCATGATATTCAAGTACTCTGATGGGCTTATTTCTTGTTAGATTAGTGTTTTTCCTGGTAATGAAAACTAGCAGGAACTCTATCCAAAAAGTTATGTGAGGTTGGCATGTGTATATGCTCATACAATAATGTAAACAGAACATATGCTCGTACAAACACATATTTATGAGAAATAGTGGTTCATAAATATTCTGGATGAGGCATTTCCCTTACCAAATTAATTTTGTATATTTGTTTCTTCATAGATATTCTGGATGAGGCATTTCCCTTACCAAATTAATTTTGTATATTCGTTTCTTCTGCATTATCTTCCCATTAGACATGCATCCAATTCATAGTTATCTTTCCTGGGGTATGTGTCATTTCCTTACTATTTTTTGGTTTCTGTGTAAAATTGTGATGTGTTGGCCATATTTGTCATTTCAGACGCACTCACATTGCAGTTGAATATTGAGAAAAGAATACGTAGTAATGGAGAAGCAGCGTTAACATACTTAGATAGGAAGATGACAAGCAATCTTAACTCCAGAACAAGCTCAGGGATATTAAAGGAGCTATTATCTGAAGGCATATTGAAACCCTCTGGAAAAAATTGGATTTCTCTTATGACTACATCTGGAGCTAAGGGTAGTATGGTGAGCATACTGTTGTTTTAATGTTATTAATTTGTCCACATCACTCTATTTATCTTTTTGTGTATTGGGATATATAGTACCATATATGCTGTGTGTGCTATGTTAGAAATGGTTATCTATCCCGGATCGTAGTGCAGAGCAGTTGACCCCAAGCCGCTATAGCAGGATAATCACTATATTGAAGTCTAAAGATATAAGATAATTAATTTGTACAGTACACATGTAAACGTTAAAAAATAATGAAAATTAAAGACATAATTAATAATCAAAACTCAATCTAAAGTGTAATCACCCGATCACTATTACTAAGTGTTGAGATATGTAGTCTCACATTGGTTGTATGTGCAACTAATGTGAAGTTTATATATCTCAACACACTAAGGTATAATTAACAAGTCAACATCAATAAAAGTCAAGGAGCATAAGGGAAAAAAAGTACAGCACCAAATGTTAAATAAGTTTAAGCCTCTAAGGCCTTAAGTTACAAAACATTCAAATTGAATACAAGTTTTTCCTTAAGAGCATGAGAACATAGGAATGATGTCAAAAAAAATAAATTAATAGAAAAAAATTAGAACACATAGACATGTGATCAAAGGACTTAGAAAAGAAAGAGAGACAAATTAGGGGTTTTTGAGTGTGAAGAATGAACAGAGCACATTTGTGGATGAAAAGATCAGAGATCAAAGAGTCTAAGCTTGATGTCAATCGAGCTGTGCTATGTATGAACAGAGGTTTGGCCAGAAGGAATGCCAGAGAGCTGTAGGTTCATTGGAAACGACACTGGAGAGATGTCTGTGGTCAGTTGTTGTAAATGTGAAATGTGAGGAAAGAACAGAGACATTTTGAAATGAACAGAATAGAGACTAAAGAGGGTGAGCTTGAGACCAATCAATCAGTGCTATGGGTGAACAGATGGTTGGCCATAAGCGACACTAGAGTGCTGTGGGTGCACCAGAAATGATGACAGAGAGCCGTGGTCAGCGGCCAGAAAAACAGGGTGAGAATTCGAGTATTTGTTCTCCAATAAGAAACCCTGTGTTTTCTTATCTAAAACGAGGGGAAATTGGCAAATTGATAAAGTAGCCCCAAAAAATCAGCTCAATAAGGAAGAAAACTGAGGGAGTGAGGGTAATGAGGGAAATTTCCCCCTGTTAGGCTTAGCGGCCGGGATGGATGCAATTTTTCATGGGCACAAATCCGGTTACAAGCAAAACGTGCTGCTCTACTGCAACAGTGGCATGATCACACACTATTGATAATCCTAGTTAGAAACACAAGGAGTCTCCTATGGATATTTTAAATGCTCAATTGTCTTTAATACAACATGATTGAAGTCCTAAAATTTTGTTTGTGGGATCCGAGTGAATCCGTTATTCTATGCTTTATGAAATGAAAATTCTTATTGAACATTGAGCAAATAGTGCACAAAATTGAAAATTATAAAAAGTGTGAACTTTTTTTGTTGAGTTTTAAGCTTTCATTCTTTTTCATTTAAAAAAGAGTTACAAGTGTTGGAGTGTTGGAGAATAAGCCTAGTTAGGAACAGTGGTCTAACTGGATTAAGCTTATTCATAATCTGTTTGGTCTAACTTGATAGAATTGATAACAGAAGTACACCCTATACCTGATTCTAGATCAGATTCTGGGTCTATAAATGTTCAGATCAATGTACAAGAAATGTACAGAAATACAATTACAGTTTATGCATTTCACTGTTCTCCCTTCTCTTGTCTCTCTCGTCGACTTCTCTGTTCTTCACCCATGTTCATCTTCAACATGATTGTTATTTGGTTAAAAATTTTACTCTGCCAAATCTGGATTATGGAATCTGGGTGATATGTGTATTCAGTGGTGAAGCTATTTGGGGCCAAGGAGTCCTGAATGTCTGGAATATGTAGAACTGAAGTTAATAACTGGTTTGTGTGGCACAACTATACATGTGGTTGGGGTATTGCTTTGTATCTTTAAGGAGCTTTCTTTGACACAAAAACTGATTTGGAATAAGTCTGGGTTTTTGGCTTCTATTTGGTGTTAAGCACATGATCTTTTTAAGAGGGACCTAACAGATTTTTAATTGGGATACTATGGATACAGTAATAAATGCAAGGATATTTGTACAGTTTCTTCTGTTATTAAAACTAGTTTGGTAGGTTCAGCTGTCCGCCACAGTTTTTGACAGGTTCTTTTAAGAACCAGACAGTTAAGTTATCACTAGTCTGGCAAATCTTTTTTCCAGTTTCTACCATAGAACTAACAGTTTTGGTTTGGTTTCTAAAACACTTTTAAGTCCGTTTTCATCTTTTCTAATTGATACAAGTCATTTATATATTTTATTTATGGCATTCTGTGATGTGAAGATGATGTCATACTTCTTTTAAACAGGTTAATTTCCAGCAGATATCTTCTCATCTAGGCCAGCAAGAATTGGAAGGTAAACGAGTCCCACGCATGGTTTCTGGAAAGACCTTACCATGCTTTTCTCCCTGGGATTGTTCCCCTAGAGCAGGAGGATTCATTATTGATCGGTTTCTAACAGCACTTCGTCCGCAGGAATATTACTTTCATTGCATGGCTGGTCGTGAAGGGTAAGCCAGGATAGGAGTTCATTCTAACCTTTTTTTTTTTTTGTTAAATGATGTATGGTCAATGGTGTTGAGTTATACTGTTTTTCCATTGTGTTCGTAGTTTTTATTGAAGAACTAAACTATACATTGGCACCTAATACTAAGAAGCATGTATCTGTTACAAATATTGGCAGAACCAAACACAATATTTATTATTTTAACTTTAATAGGTAAGATAGATCTTCAAATATAAAAGAAAGAATTATATAGCAAATCGAAAAGAAATGGAAGATGAGTGACTATGAAAGAGTCTGAATTTTTCTGATTTATACCTGGGTGACATTACTCATTTGTACTAGTCATATAATTGACACGACTACATGTAAATGCATATGATGTCTCCTAATACTTGGTAGTGTTTATCTATTACGAATATTGGCAGAGACGATCACTATTTTTTTCTCAATGCTTTACTGAAAATTTAGATTTTGGTAGAGCCCAATGGTGTCAATTGATCCATGTAGCGAATCCAATCAGTGGGATAAGGCTCGGCTGTTATTGTTTGTTTGTTTGTGTTTATTTGTTAACTTCATGTTTGCATTTTCTCAAATGTAAGAACCACCAGTTAGTGGTCCATATTAGTGAATAACTAGCATAGCTTTCTGTTTTAGCATTACTTACGTTACTGTACATCTGTTTGTACCTGATAGCTTCTAGGTTATTCAGTTTGTATTCTGTTAGTTGGTTAGTGTAGTTATTTTGCTGACTCAGCTTTGAGTCATTTCCTTAGCTCTATTAATAGAGCTCTCCCTTGTATCTGGTTAATTATTCAGAACATACAGATAATTCCAATGGCTTCTTCTCTCTCTCACTCTCTCTCGAACTCTCATATGGTATCAGAGCTCTCATATGGTATCAGAGTTCTCATTCTGAGGGCCTGATCCATTTCGTGCTTCACTCATGGCTTCTGCAACTTCATCTTCTCATGAGAATCAAGAAAATTGCAATAGCAACAACTCAAACCAGAGCTTGAATCACACCTCTTCAATGGAGAAAGCTCCAATCTCTTCAATTACCAAATTCTGTGAAGCGTACAGAGTACAATTTCTTATTCTGGAATCACACATCAGCTCCAACGATTTTTGATCAATCCAAAGATTCCGTTAAAATTTCTCACTGAAGAAGATTGAGACAATGAATCGATAAATCCAGCATACGTCACTTGGCTCACACAAGATGAGATGTTGCTGACTTGCCTACTCTCCTCACACAATCATTGGAGTCAAACATTCTCATGAAGCCGGGGACAAGATCCATAAGCTATTTCATGGAATGATGAAATCTAAGGCAAGAAATCTCAGATCTGAGCTTCGCATGTTGAAGAAAGGTACAAAAACGATTTATGAGTACTGCCTAGGATCAAAATTTGTAATTCGTTGAAAGCGGTAAGCAATCCAGTGTTGATTGAGGATCAAATCGAGTACATATTTGAAGGTTTGCCTTCGGATTACAATTCCTTCGTTCTCAGCGTTCATGGATGTGAAAAAGCATATGGCGTAGATGACATAGCAATTGAGATAATGGTCTTCGAACTATTATTGTTGAAGCAAAATGAGTCATTGATGAGCAACCCAGCCTCTGCAAATGTTGCTGTAACTCGAATCCAATATGAGAAAAATCCTCTGTTCACCTTTGTTTTACTGAATGAAAAACAGAGCATGAACCAGACTCAAGATCACCATTATTCTGGTCCTTCTAATGTTGGAAACAGAGGACAAGGAAGGCATGGAGGTCGAAATAACAGAGGAAGAGGACGTGGACCTTGTTCTAATGTGCATTGCCAACTCTGCTATAAATGCGGACATGATGTTCGTTCATGCTGGTACAGGTTCGATGAAAATTTTGTACGTAATATTCCACCTCTAACTTCGAACGAATTGCAATATTTCACCTCCCCTAAACAGAGGTCTTATCGGTATGTCCATTAGCAAGCCAATCCATAAGCAATGATTGCTTCACAACCAGGCTTGCTACCTCTTCCAAATTCAGCACCTACTATTGAATGGTTCCCTGATTCTGGTGCTAGTTATCATGTGACTGCGAATCTTGTTCAGAGTCCGCAGCTCTCTGGTACAGATCAAATTGTCATTGGTAACAGACAAGGTTTGCCTATTCTTGCTGTTGGTTCAACCCAATTTGTGTCTCCCTTTAATTGTCAATCTCACTTGAAACTTAAAAATCTTTTGCTTTTTCCTTCAATAGTAAAGAACTTGTTGAGTGTTAGCCAATTTGCAAAAGATAGTAGTGTTTATTTTGAGTTCCATGCTTCTAAATGTTTTGTTAGGGTGCAGGATTCTCATAAAATTCTTCTTGAAGATTTGTTAGCAAGGATGGACTATATAGTTTTCCAAGAGTTCAGATTCCTCAAGTCTCAATTCCGGTTAAGAATTCGACGACTTCACATGTATATCCAGTTTCATCAGTTTTCAGTTGTAATAGTTCACATGTGCTTACTTGTACTCAGCCTAGTTCTATCCCTAATACAACCTATTTCTTCTGGCATAGTCATTTAGGACATCTTCATCATGTAGCCTTAAAGATTGTACTCAACTCTTGTAAAATTCCCTTTGATAATAAAAGTGAGTTTGTTTTTTGTTCTTCTTGCTGTCTTGGAAAGGCTCATAGACTGCATTCTCCTCCTTCTCAAATTTTCTACAATTCTCCTTTTGAGTTGATCTATAGTGATCTTTGGGGACCATCCCCAATCAAGTCTACTGTTGGAATTTCATATTATACATCCTTTGTTGATGCTAACACAAAATATACTTGGTTGTTTCCTATTCAACAAAAGCTAGATGCAATCACAATATTCTAACAATTTCACTATGGTTATTAACCATTTTCAAGCTGTAATTAGAGCTATCCAAACTACTTGGGGTGGGGAGTTTCGGTCATTTACCCAATATTTACAACTCCATGGCATATTGCATAAGATAACTTGTCCCCATACACATCATCAGAATGGTGTGGTTGAGAGAAAGCATAGATACATTGTTGAGACTGGTTTAACACCTCTCTCATGCATATCTTCCTATGAAATTTTGGGATTATGCCTTTAGTTTTGCTATTTTTCTTATTAATCGTTTGCCCACTGCATCTATAAATTTTGAAGTTCCCTATACCAAACGTTACAGAACTGAACCTGATTATAAATTTCTTAAAGTGTTTGACTATGCTTGCTTTCCCTTCCTTAGACCTTATATTAAACACAAACTCGAATATAGGTATCAAGAATGTGTTTTTCTTGGGTATTCCTCTAGTCATAAAGGTTATATTTGCCAAAATAAGGATGGGAGAAACTTTGTTTCAAAGGATGTCATCTTTAATGAATATTTGTTTCCTTATGCAAGTTCGTGGTCAAAATCTACTGGTGACACTCTTTAAGCTGTTCCACATCCTAGTCCCTGTTTGTCCAAGACTTGTCATTACTCAATAATTCATCTACTGCCACCCTATATCTTGATACTTCGAGAAGTCAGAATGTTTATATGCCTAGTTCCTACACTACTGATACATCAGCTTCTGCACCAAGTTCTCCTACTGCACAGTCCTATCCTATTCAGTCACACAGTCATAGTTAGTCCAGTTCATCAGGTTCAGTATCCTCCATTACACCCAGCCATACAAACTTAGCCTCTGACCGAAACTCACCAGCTCCCTTGCAGTTGGATAGTTCAGTTGTCTCCTCCTCATCTTCCTCTTCAGAATTTTTACCTCCTAGTCTTAATCTTGCTTCTCCTCATTCTATTCAAACAAGGTCCAAGACTCTAGCTAGAGCTCAAGCTCTTCTCATATACATTTAACCTACTTCAGTCAAGCAGACACTATACAATCCACCTTGGCTTGAGGCTATGAAAGTTGAATATAATGCTTTTTTAGCTAACTATACTTGGACTTTGTTCCTCTTCCTTCTAACAGGTCTTCTATAGGGTGCAAATGGGTATTCAAGCTTAAGGAAAATCCTGATGGTTCAATAAATAAGTATAAAGCAAGGCTTGTTGCAAAAGGTTTCCACCAACCACCTGAGTTTGATTACAATGAAACTTTCAGCCCAGTTGTCACACCAGTAAACATCCGAATTGTGCTTACTTTAGCCTTCACTTATGGCTGAACTCTTAGGCAATTGGATGTCAACAATGCCTTCTTAAAGGGTGATCTTGAAGAGGAGGTGTACATGGTACAACCCCCAGGTTTGAAGACACAAACAAACAACTGGTTTGCAAGCTTAACAAGGCTCTTTATGGGCTAAAACAGACCCCATGCGCATGGTTTGACAAGATGTTGTGATCCTTCATTGTTTATTCTTCGATCTTCTTCAAGATGCAGCTATGTTCTTATCTATGTTGATGATATTAGTGTAACTGGCACTGATCCTTCCTTCATTACTCATCTTGTCAAACAACTCAATGCTCAGTTTGAAGGATTTGGGTAACCTGGACTATTTCCTTGGTGTTAAGGTCAAAAGGAATGCTTCGAATACTTTAATGCTGTCTTAGTCCAAGTACATTCGTGACTTACTCACTAGAGCTTCTATTCTAGAAGCAAAAGGAATTTCTTCTCCTATGCCTAGTAGTTGCAAACTCTCTCGGATTGGCTCTCATTATTACCCTGATCCACATCACTACAGATCCATTGTTGGTGCTCTCCAATATGCACTATTACAAGATCTGACATCAGTTATGCAGTAAATAAAGTGTTTCAATTTATGGCTCAACCATTAGAGGAACAATGGGCAGTGGTTAAAAGGGTCCTGTCTACTTTAATGCTGAGGTCAAAAGGAATGCTTCGAATACTTTAATGCTGTCTCAGTCCAAGTACATTCGCGACGTACTCACTAGAGCTTCTATGCAAGAAGCAAAAGGAATTTCTTCTCCCATGCCTAGTAGTTGCAAACTCTCTCGGATTGGCTTTCATTATTACCTTGATCCATATTACTACAGATCCATTGTTGGTGCTCTCCAGTATGCTACTATTACAAGACCTGACATCAGTTATGCAGTAAATAAAGTGTGTCAATTATGGCTCAACCATTAGAGGGTCTTGCCCTACATCACTCTCTGTCCTCCCCCCTCAAAGCATTTCTGTTTCTTTTGGCTTGTTTGTGTGCTGTTTCCTCCCTTGTTCAAACTCACTCAATTTTGTTCATGGAAATGTTTTGATCGTTTTTACATAGAAGGCTTCATGTATTCTTGGTTATCATATCGTTTACTTCTTCCTAGATCCTAACAACTAACATCTTTTCTTAACAGGTTAGTTGATACTGCAGTTAAAACATCTCGGAGTGGTTACCTGCAAAGATGCCTAATGAAAAACCTTGAGTGTCTTAAAGTCTGTTATGATCATACTGTCCGTGATGCTGATGGTTCAATTATTCAGTTTCACTATGGAGAAGATGGCGTAGATGTCCATCAAACTAGCTTTATCACCAAATTTGAAGCATTGTCAACTGTATGAACATGTTTATTATTTTAGAAATCCATATAGATCTTGTATCTTCTTGTTTATATATATTTTTTGTTATTAATTTCAGAATAAAGAATTGGTTTACAGCAACTGTTGCCGTCAGTTAGACCGGTCCAGTCCTTATATTAACAAGTTGCCTGATGCTCTTAAAGGAAAAGCAGAAAACTTCATTCATAATTTCTCTTTAAAACAGAGAAATCATGGTTCAATGAAACGAGCAGATTTCTTGAAGTTGATGGAGCACAAGTATGTCTCAAGTCTTGCTCAGCCTGGTGAGCCTGTTGGTGTGTTAGCTTCTCAATCTGTTGGTGAACCGGCAACGCAGATGACGTAAGTTTTTTTCATGTTGCGAATTTTTGTCCCCATTTTTCAAATATAGTTTGTTATAAGAGATGGACTTCATCTCAATCTGTTTCATGAATAAACAATATGAAGAATTGTGAGTCTATTCTAGATACCAATCTCTTATGATCACTTGAAACCATCTAGCTGTTGCAGTCTTGCAGATATGTGCAATATCTTAACTGAAAATATGACCTTTTAAATTTTAATAGGCTAGGAACAGCTAACATTTAGTGAAATAAAATTAATTGACACGACACGACACGACATGACACAAATTCAACACGAACAAGAATATACTCAACACGAACGCGACAAAAATTTGAAATTAGGTTAAAACCTTTGTCATGAACACGACCCACTTATTTTGCTGGTTGACACGACATGACATGACACGAACAACCTATTAACCACCAATTGTGTTACTTATTATGTGGGTCGACACGATTCGATAAGACACGAATAACCTGTAAGAAAATTAATGCAAGTCAATTTTGGGTCTGCCGTGACATGACACGAATTTTTTCGGGTCCATTTTTTCCAATCGGAACACGACACCAATTTGTAAACAGGTCGATCCGAACATGAGTTTTTCATGTTGCGTCAGTGGGTCATGTTGAAAATTGCTACCCCTAATTCAAAATTTTGTGAAGCTTGCAAAATAATGATTTGTGAAGGATTAAAATTCAAATCTAGGAGATTGAGTCACTTACACCCCTTCATGAAGCACTCTTTCAAAAATTCATTATTAACATTCAATTGCTACAAAAGCCACTGTATTGTGATTACCGAGGTGAGCATAATCCAAATAGTAATGGGCTTTACCATGGGAGAAAAAGTTTTCCATTGTAATCAAAATCATGTTGTTGATGGAATCCCTTGCAAACAACCTAGCCTTGTACTTGTTGATAGAGCCATCCAGATTTGCCTGGATTGAAAATATCCTCCTGCAACCATTGAATTGCTGTTAGAAATATATAAAACCATTAATGTAATCTCACCTAACAATTTAATCTTTTGGGTTGAATTGGTTCTTTACATGGTATCAGAGCCTCGGTGTCATGGGTTTAGTCCTCACCGCCCCCCATTAATTAATAATTAATTATGTCTTATGGAATTTCTTAACATAGGTAGGTGGGCCTATGCATTATCTACCCTTCAAGTCCAGTAAGCTTTCATGTGAGGAGATGTGTTAGAGAACAAAATCATTAATATAACCTTACCCAATAGCTTAAGTTTTTGGGTTGAATTGGTTTTTTACAGTTGCCTAGAGGGTGGCAAGCGAACTAGGGATCAAGTCCCGTTAGCTTGCTAACTCAGGGTAACATGCAACAAATAACAAACTCATAACACCTTGGAGTAACTAATCTTACCCTGAGAACAGGGGTACCATGTTGCTGCTCTAACATACATATTAGAAGTACTGAAAATAAGGTGATAAGAAGTCCCGCATCATCAAATCAATGTTATGTAATTGTTAGTCTCACTCTATACAAGAGAGCATCTGCTGTGCTATTGATACCAACGGACTGAAACATTTGCTTATTTCCATGTTATTCAACAATACAAATCAAATTGAAGAGAAAATGTGAGGAAAGGTGAGAAAGGGAGAGAAAGTGTAAACTGGGAATTTCTGACTGTCTTGTTCTGAATGACAGAAACAGTCTTTATAGATTTACATATAGCTTGAAGAGCGAGCTTCAATTAAATTGAACATGAATGAATTCTCTCATGGTAAAATTTCACATGATGTGAATTTTTTGTGTCTATCTCTTTCTTCGTTAATGATAATTGGACCGCACTTATTTAATGCATGTGAAAAAAGAGAAAGATACAAAATTTTTAAGATCAAGTCATGTTAAATTTTTTTACATAAGAGGATTCACGCCCAAATTAAACAAAGCTTGTTGTAAGTTGTAACTATTAAGAGTTGTTACAACTGAAAGCCACGTAGGCTAACTACCTAACTGCTAGGGTGCAGCCAGCTCATTCAACTAACACTGTACAAGAGAGTATTTACTCTTATACGTACTGACCAATGCACTAATACAAAGTGATACAATTTGCTGTGAATACAATAGCTATACAGAACTATACATTAAGTAATAACTGTAGTAATAGTAGCAGTCACTCTAATAACAATACACTTTGCCGATTGTACTTTAATTAATTTCACAATCTCAGTAAAATTTTATCCTAACCCTCGTGATTTTTGGATCAAACTGAATCTCTGAATCTGTCAAATACATTGCTAGATTTAGCTTGAGAAATATGAATTGAGCAAGACTACTAGAATGATCATCTCTTAAGCTAAGGCATGGCATGCGGTGGAGCAAGGGTGGGTAGGAATTGACAATCTTTATTACTTGGGAAAAAGAAGATACTGGAAGACAACACTCACAAAGAAAGACATTGGCTCATAGAGCTTTGTAAAGAACCAATTCAACCCAAAAACTTAAGCTGTTGGGTGAGGCTACATTAATAATGGTTTTATATATCTCAACACACCTCTTACACGAGAGCTCACTGGGCTTGAAAGGTGGACAATGCACAAACCCACTTACTTGTGCGAACAAAGAAATTCCACTTGAAAGAAAGTGGAGGGCGGCGAGGATCGAACCCGGGACACGAGGCTCTGATACCATGTAAAGAACCGGCTCTGATACCATGTAAAGAACTAATTCAACCCAAAAGCTTAAGCTGTTGGGTGACTACATAAATGGTTTTATATATCTCAACAAGCTCCAAGGGAAACCCTTTAGAATGAGATCATTCTCACTTACTAAAAGATAGCTAGATAATCGACTGCTTATTATCATTACCGAGCCCTTTAGATCCACCTCATTTTGTCGTAAGCCCATAATTACCGACCGACATAATCTGTCATTAATTCATTATTAGGTCAGTTTACTCCCCAATAACAGCTCCTTATTCTGGCCATTTTCCCATCCTTTCATAAACTATCGATTTCCTCATTTTAACCTTTGTCTCCTTATTGAAATCTCCACCATCTTAGCCTTTGTCCGCACATCATTCAAATCATCCTTATCAGGATGGCATTGTTAATAAACTGGAGCATTACCATATTTTCTTCTCTCCCACTCCAATCTCTGGGCATCATCAAATTTTTTATGTAAATTTTTATATCAACGCGGTTATGGAATCACCTTTTGAGTGATGATTATCAGAGTTATAACCCTAACAGTCATCTTTGTGACTCTTTTTAACTTGCCCAACCTTCCTTCATGGACTTTTTTTTCTTTGGAGGATGTAGAATATTTGGCCTCTTCTCCTCGATGAGCCTGTTGCTAATCTTTTGTTGTGTTCATAGTCGTACGGAGTAAATTTTAACCAGATAATTTATGACAATTTGGAAGGAACAAAAAGAAACAATATTATCACATCAAATTTTAGTAGTTGAAAGATTGGAAGTGGACAAAAGCAATAGGCACATAGAGATGAAATTCTGAGGTGAGGGCTTTACAGAATACCAGATTATCTTCTTTCTAGTTCATCTGCAGTGTTCTGGAGTAAAGAAACACAGGATAAGAGGACAACTGTTAATAGACAGTGCATGACACGTTTATTACGTGTTCTGACAAAAGTTCTTGAAATGTGGACATTTTCTTATGTATTGCTAGAGGTTCGGAAACCTAAGCAAAATTAATGGGAACAACAGCTTTATACTTGCATCTGCAGTTTATATTCTAAAGCTCTCCCCTTCCGCCTGCTAGAACATCTTAATGCAGGGAAGTCATGTTTTTTAGCAGCCATGAATTTCTCATTAATGACATAGTAAGACTTAGTTAGTGTAGATGTGAAGTTTGAGCCTCTTATGGGAGCTAGTGGGATTGGAGCTTGGAAGTGCATGCCCGTTTGTTTACCTTGGTTATTTTATAATTTATAGACGAACTTCATGTGTTTTTTAGAATTTCTGATTAACTGGGTCTTAATTATTTTTTGTCTTCTTCTTTTTTTGTTCTCGTTTCAGTTTGAATACTTTTCACCTTGCTGGTCGAGGTGAAATGAATGTGACACTTGGAATTCCACGTTTGCAAGAGATCCTCATGGCTGCCTCACGTGATATCAAGACTCCATTTATGACATGCCCCTTGAGACCGAATAAGTCTATGTGAGATGCTGACATTGTTCTCTGTTCTCTAGTGTGTCTCTGTGTGTTATTTTGTTCTGAAAACTTATGTTTTTTCTACATACAGACACATAGATGCTTAACGCAGTTGTTATTTGCAGGAAAGATGCCATAAGTCTTGCAGATAAGTTGAAGAAGATTACTGTAGCTGATATAATTGAGAGTATGAAAGTTTCTGTGGTACCAGTAGCTGTTCGTGATGGTCAGATATGCAGTATATATAAACTTGTGATGAAGCTATATAAACCTGAAAACTATCCTAAATACACGGATATTACGCTTGAAGACTGGGAGGAAACTCTAAGAGTTGTCTTTGTAAGGGAGTTGGAGGATGCCATTGAAAATCACATGATACTGCTCTCTAAAATTAGTGGCATTAAAAATTATAAGACAGATCCACCATCAAGTTCTTCAAATGGATCAGAAGATGTTCACAGCAGTGGATCAGAATCTGAGAGAAAAGGTCACACTAATGATGATGACGATGCTGATGATGGTGGTGGTGTTGAAGACACGGAAGGGGCTGAGGATCTTGGTTCAGATGCTCAAAAGAGAAAACAGCAAGGTACTGATGAGGTTGATTACGAGGATGGTCCTGAAGAGGAAACACATGATGGGGAGCTATCTGAGGAATTTGAAGGTGGTGAGGATGGCGGTGATATTGAAATTGAAGTTAACGAGGATGATAAGAATGTGACAGTTGATGCCAATAATTCTGAAGAACTTGAAGAACACGCCATGCACGAGTCTATTGAGGAAAAGGATACATTGAAATCTGGCAAGAAAAAATCAGAACCAATAACAAAAAAATATGACAGGGCAGTTTTTGTGAAAGCAAAAGGGATGCATTTTGAGATCCGCTTTAAATTTACCGGTGAACCTCACATTTTGTTGGCTCAGGTACTTCTACTCGCTTTCTATTTAATATGCAGTATAAATTTCATGGCTAACGTCTTTCTTTTTATACTGATGTCAATGTTTGTGTTTCTATTAGATGGGTTGTTCTGCACTATAAATAGTCTACTTAATCCTATATAAATGGTCTACTAAATATAATGATTTTGTCGAGTAGTGGTTGTTTGAACTGTGTAAATAGTGCAAGTACAATTTGGAAGCAAATATAATAGCTGTTGGGTGTATATTCCATTTTATTTATTTATTTTGCTTCTTGATTATCATACAAAACTACTGTTTTCAAATTAATTATACGCAGATTGCTCAGAGAACAGCCAACAAGGTTTGCATCCAGAACTTTGGAAAGGTTGGGGAGTGTAAAGCTATTACATGTAAAGAAAGTGGAGTAATCTACTACGGTGAAGATGGCAGGAAAAGAGATGATATTCCATCCTCAGTGAAAGAAACAATACCAGCACTTCAGACATCTGGTGTACACTTTGAAACATTTTGGGATTTGAAAGGTGATCTTGATGTTAGGTATGTTTATTCAAACAACGTCCATGCTATGCTAAAGGCTTATGGGGTGGAAGCCGCCAGAGAGACCATCATTAGAGAAATACAAAACGTTTTCAAGTCTTATGGCATATCGGTAAATATCCGGCACCTGACGCTTATTGCTGACTATATGACGCACTCCGGTGGCTATCGTCCAATGAACAGAATGGGGAGCATAGCAGATTCTACATCTCCTTTCATCAAGATGTGCTTTGAGACAGCCTCCAAGTTCATTGTGGAAGCAGCTTATCATGGTCAGGTGGACAACTTGGAGACTCCTTCTTCTAGAGTTTGTCTTGGTTTGCCAGTGAAGATGGGAACTGGGTGCCATGACTTGATACAGAAGCTGGAAATATGATGTAGCTGGCATGAGCCTCACCATTGGCCGAATGGATTATTTAATGTGACATGAGATTACATGAGACGATCTCATTTGTACATTGGCAAATCAATAGTTATCGTTGGTTTCTATCTTAGTGTGCTCTTTATAGATGTTGATTTATCCATGAACCGTTGAGATCGTTTCATATAATTTTATGTTCACGAGAGGATCCATTCCCGTTCGGTGAAATTTTGACGCCATGTTGTACAACTATTGTTTGCAAAATTTTCAAATCCATTTTTGTTCTGGCTGAAAAGTAACTTGTTTAGAGGGCAGTAGTATTAATAGTTTGAAATGCACAGTATCTATAATAGAGGTGATGTAATGAGTTGTTTTGCCGTTAATGTATAACATTTTCACATATAATTCAATTTAATTATTTACTTCACTTTGCAAATTTCAAATAAACTTGCTTAGGGCTTTTTATTTTATTTAATTTTTTTGATAATCTGCTTAGGGCTTATTTACGACCCTTATTTAAGTTGCATATGATTACTTCCTTACATAAAATATTTTGCAGCAAAAGCTACGCTGATTACTTTTTGGTCGATACGTAAAAAAAAAAACAGCACGGCTGTGTTTTTTTGTTTATATTTTATTTTGTCTTTGATGGTTGACTTCGGTGTTTTTAAATTTGACTCGGGCATTGATCCGGTCGGAGTACTGGGTTATTGATTGGATTGTTGAATCACTAATCGAATCGGTTGATCCGGATATATATATATAGATATATATAAATATATATAAATATGAATATATAAATTTAATTATATTCTTTATATTTAAAATGAATTAAACAAGGTTCACTAAATAAGTTCAAAAACATGAAGCATAAATAAATGAAAATGCACGCTATTACTATGTCAATTTAAATTGCAACTTAGAATCTCCATAAACATACATATCAATGACATTGAACTCATATTTTTTCAAATTCAACTATATTAAAATAATATGCGTCACATTCGCATAATTTATTATTTCGCAAATTGCTTAAGTATTGGAAGCTGAGATTTGATGTCATTATAGACGAGTAATACTAGCAAATAAAATTACAATTTTTTTTTGAAATGAGTTCTACATTTTTTTTGACAAGATGAAACAATTTCGATCTTTTGATTTTTTTTTTAAATGCATGACCCGACCGGGTCATCGACTTTATCCGAGTTTTGACCGGATCGATGCATGACCGGTCCAATGCTTGACCTGAACCGGTCCGATGACCGGTTCGCCGGGTATCGGGTCTACTCGGCTGGGTCGTGTCGGGTTTTACAACAATAATTGACTTACTTTAGAGTAAGAGTGTTCAAAACTAATTTAATTTAATTAATTAAGAAAAAATGGGTTGAAAAAAAAAGTTGAAAAATTGACATTTAACTGAGTTGATTTGATTTTTAGGTTTAATAAAAAAATAAAAATAAATTTGAAAACTATATATATACATCTTTTAAATTTATACTTTTGAATATATTTTGTATTATAATTTGAGATAAACTTATTTTTTTAATTAAAATTTATATTTTTAAATTGATAATTTATTTAAATTTATATGTGAAACACACAGTGAAGCACGCTCAATTTTGTAAAAGTTGCGTGTCGGATACTGACACGTTTCGACACGTGGTCAATATTTTAGGATATACGATCAATTCTCCGACACGTTCTGATACGTTTTTTCGACACCCAATCAACTTTTTCCGACACACGGTCAATGCTCCGACACGCATCCGACACTTTTTTGTTTTTGTTTTAGAGCTAAATTTTATTTTATTAACTAAATATGAAAAAATATTTTCTAAATCAATTTTTTTTTCTGTTATGAAATTTGACATGAAAAATTAAAAAGGTATGGAAATTTATTTTTGTTTATATTTATGTTATAAAATTTAAAAATTTGATTGATTATATGACTTACTATGAGTTGTTATATGTATTAAATATAAATTATATTATTTATTAAAAATATTATTTAATATCAAAACGTGTCCCAACGTGTCAGAATATAAAATTTACGTGTCGGCGTGCCGTATCGTGTCCCGTGTCCTGTATCAGTGTCGGTGCATCATAGGAAACACATATCTTATTCCTTGTCCTATAAAATGTATTATCAGTCGGTTATGGTAGCATATAAAATGAAATTCACTTAAGCGTGCGAATATATTTAAAAAGTTGTTAGATAAAAATAGAATACACAGATAACAATCTATTTAAAATTTTTTATTCTTACATGGTCAATTAACATATACCCAATTTTAATCATAGATCCCATTTGTATTTAATGTCCCCATAACTAATATCAGCAAAGTGAAACAACTACGCTAATGTAAATTAATAAACATTTGGAGGACACAACACAAAGTGTCAACTTGCAATTATGGTCTCTATGTGGACTAACAGTTTGCGGTCAGTCCAAAGCGACAGAATGAAAATGACATAATTTTTTGGACTATTGGGAGGAAGCAGTAATGACACTTGAAGCTGTTATCCCTTTTTTATATTTTTCGCATCTCATAGTGGAACTGAGGGAAAATGACTTGAAAGCGAAGGAGAAAATGCATCAAGCTGTCTCTGTAATGTATTTATTGGTTTAGCAACTTAGCATGGTCCTTCTTCTTCGTCCCTACTCACAACCCTTCTCTTGAATCTCGTTGGCAATTGTTTATCTAACCTTTTGTACTCCCTTTGTTTTTTTTAGTTTGGAAATTTTTTAATATGATAAAATATAAAACTAAAAAACATGTAGCTAATTCATATTATGGACAGGATATAATTACCATAAAAAAATTTACTACCTTTATAACCAATCTAATCACCGTTAGTTTCCGCCAATCTAACGATTATAATTTGTTAAGAGTGTTAGTGTTAATAGTGTAGAAGTCCCACATTGAGTGTGTCTCTTTGTATTCTTCAATTGGTTTGCTATATAATAGCACCAATGTTGTGTAGTTTAATACAACAAGGATTACTATTATTTCCTCTTGTATCTATGATATTCAACATGGTATCTAGAGCCTAACAAGAGGAATTTTAATCTGTTTAACTTAGTTCTATTTTCCATAATTTCAATATGGTTATAGAGAGATATCACCCTCCTTGAAGGATTCCCGTTGCTATTTCTTTTTCGGGTTTTTCATAGTATACTCTGTGACTGCAGCTTAGACTGATCTGTCACATCAGAAAAGAATGATCCTTGGGAAGTTGTTGGGTTGACCACCGTTGTCGTTGATCGACCACCGTTGACTGCGTCGTCCACCGTTGACAGCCGTCTCCGGCGACTTTTCCGATGACTTTCCGGCGAATTTTTCGGCGATCCACCACCGTCTCCGATGACTTTTTCGACGACCCACCGCCGTCTTCGGCGACTTTTCCGATTCCGCGAAGCTTTGTTTTTTCTTTAATCCTCTTTCTTCCCAAGATGGAGTATTTATACTATTCATCATCCATCTTGAGGGGGAGCACTGTCCAAGTTGCTGATGTTGTCTCCGCTGATGTTAATTCCGACACCGAAGTTCCTCTTGAGGGGGAGCACTGTCCATGTTGTTGATGGTCATTCCAGCACAATTGTCTTTGCCGATGATAATTCCGGCACTGTTTAGAAGTTCCTCTTAAGGGGGAGCACTGTCCATGTTGCTGATGGTCATTCCAGCACAATTGTCTTTGCCGATGATAATTCCAGCACAGTTTAGAAGTTCCTCTTGAGGGGGAGCACTGTCCATGTTGCTGATGGTCATTCCAGCACAATTGTCTTTGCCGATGATAATTCTGGCACTGTTTAGAAGTTCCTCTTGAGGGGGAGCACCGTCCATGTTGCTGATGGTCATTCCAGCACAATTGTCTTTGCCGATGATCATTCCGGCATCTTCCATGTTGATGTTCATTTCGACGCCATTTTTAGCACATTGTTGATTTTTGGTTTCTCATTTAGGAGATTTATTTTGATGTTATGTTACTTGTCTTTCTTGTAATAAGCTTGTAGCATAGTCAAGGGGAAACCACGGCTGCTCACCAACTGTTAAATGAAATGTCTGAGAGAGATCTTGATGCTGATGTCCTGGTCAACTCAGTTGTCTTGCCGATGATAATTCCGGCACCATCCATGCTCTGATGTCCATTCCAGCACTGTCTCTTTATCAGCTCTTCAGACTGATGGTCATTCCAGTTGATTTGTTGTACTTGGTCATTTCATTTCGTTGATGTAGCATTGTTGTTTTTGGTTCCTAATGGGAGTATTATTTATGTATCAAGCTTGTAGCATATGATCTATATGCTACAGCTTGAGGGGGAGTGTTAAGAGTGTTAGTGTTAATAGTGTAGAAGTCCCACATTGAGTGTGCCTCTTTGTATTCTTCAATTGGTTTGCTATATAATAGCACCAATGTTGTGTAGTTTAATACAACAAGGATTACTATCATTTCCTCTTGTATCTATGATATTTAACATAATTTATTAAGAATTAATAATTAATTAATAAGTACAACCCAATAATTTCTAATAAAGTATAACCGTTAGATTGACAGAAATTAACGATAATTAAATTAATTGTAAGGATGATAAACTTTTTTGGTGGTAAGTATATCTTTCCCCCTCGTATTAACTAGGTTTCCTTTCTGTAGAATTTGTGACTTGTGAGCAACTAATTAAAAATCTACCTGCTATATGATATTTGGATAAAGATAACAATGCTTTTAATATACTGAACAAAAAAATCATTGCATAGAAATTGTGATTTGGAATTGTGATTTTTTTTATATGCTTCATTTGATTTCATACAGGATTATTATTATTATTATTTTATTATTATTATTATTATTATTTGTAGCGCCTCGTTTGTACCTTGGTTCGTACTCACGAAATTGATTTTGTGCAACCCAAAATGAATTAAAGTTTTATTTAGGCAATAACATATTTGGATGGAAGTTCAATTAAAGGGGTGTAGACCTGAACAACAATTAGTAAAAGACATGTTTTAAAATTGATTTGCCATTTGCCCGAGTAAATAAAGAAACTTACTCCGGTAAACCATTTACTCGAGTAAGCTGTCTCTTTTACTCATGTAAATCTCAGATCTTAAGCAAATTAGCACCCCTGAATGGCTCAACTATCCAATGCAATAAACCTATATCAAGTTGAATGAACCAAGGTCATTTCGTGACATGAATTCCCATCTCATTCATTCAATTGTGGAGACAAAATATGTTTTGATAATAATAAAGAAGTAACAACTAAAAGGGATTGACTTTGACCAAGAGCAAAAAAATCAAGCATACATGAAGATTGAAAATATATGATGGAGCCAATGATAACATTTTTTTTGTTGGTAAATTAGAATAATAACATATTAATAAAGTGGTAGTAAG